CGCGCCCCGCGGCCACGGGCACGACCACCGACGGCGATGACGATGGATTCGGCGAGTTCTACGAGCGACTGGGTCGGGTTCGCGACTACCACGAGAGGTATCCGGGTGCGCTGCCCGACACGTTCTCGGTCGAGTTCGGCGCGCTCGAGGCGGGCGGATCGTCGCATCCCGACGCAGGCTCGTCGTCAGTCGCAGCGGCAGGATACGCAGAGGACTTTGTGGACCGCATGTTTTCGGGCGAGGAGATGGCGGGTCGATTCCTCGATCTGTACGTCCACCACGAGGCGTACCTCAACCTCAAGGGAGCCAAGCGGCTGAGCTACTTGAGCTACATTGACGATGTCGGCAAGCTCGCCGGACCGAGCTCGCCCATCCCAAACCACGCCAAGAAGACCGACGCGTACCGCACCTATCTCACGGAGCTCAGGAGGTATCTCGATGGGTTTATGCGCAAGACGCAGCCGCTGGCGAACGTGGACAACATCTCAGCAAAGGCGGTGGAATCGTTCGAAGAGGCGTGGGAAAGGGGCACGGTAGAGGGGTGGGAGCAGCAAGGCGCCGAGGTGTTTGGCGCAGCGGGGGCGAGCAAGGCGAATGTGGGCGACGGGGCGGGGTTGGGGCAGGGTGAGGTGGGGGAGCAGGGGATCTGGTGTGTAGCATGCCGGAGGTTCTACGCCAAGCAGACGGTGTACGATGCGCATCTCAAGGCGCCCAAGCATCTCAAGGCGGCAGCGCGACAGCAGTCTGCAGGCGACGGCGCAGCTACACCTGGTGGTGGTGCGGCGCACAGCGAGGCGGAGAGGGTCAAGGCGCGAGTGCGCGGCAAAGCGCTGGCACGCGACGAATGCATCATCACCGCACTCGCGCACGAGCTCACCTCGATCCGTGCCGACACCAAGTCGAACGTCGAACGTAAAGCGGCGCTGACGGACCGCGAACGACAAGCGGAGGCCGAAGCGGCCTCGGACGAGCTGAACCGCATGACCGCTCTCAACCCTACCTCTGGTCTTGATGGGGATGTCGACGAGGCGACGGGGATGGATGAGGACGAGGATGGATTGGGACGGGTGTACAATCCGCTCAAGTTGCCGTTGGGCTGGGATGGACGACCGATTCCGTTCTGGCTGTACAAGCTGCACGGCCTGCGCAACGAGTTCAAGTGCGAGATCTGCTCCGACCACGTCTACCACGGCCGCAAGGCGTTCGAGAAGCACTTTACCGAATCGCGCCATGCGTTTGGCATGCGTGCACTCGGTCTGCCCAACACGGTGCAGTTTCGCGATGTGACGAGCATCGCCGATGCGCTTGCGTTGGCGGAAAAGCTGCGCAGACAGGGTAAGGTTGATCAGGCCAATGCAGGGGTTGATGGACAGGAGGTCGAGGACGAACATGGCAACTCGTATACCAAAAAGACGTACGACTTGCTCAAGCGACAAGGCCTCATCTAGCAACATGGGACGCGATAATGCATTTGCCATTGCGCATCTCAAAACAGGCTGAATGTGGCGTCGGCAGTAGCAATGCCAAGGTCTTTGAGCATCTTGTTGGTGTTGATTTGGAGTTGAGTGGGAGCAGAGTCGGACTTGGCACGCCAGGTGGATTCGGTTTGGAGCCAGACGTTCATCTCGCACTGCAGAGTAGCCGTGGCTGCATCGGCAGAAGAGCCAAGTTTGGGCGCCGGCTTTTTGGCGCCAAAGAACTTGGAGATGGCCACGGGTTCGTCGATCCACTTGACCTTGTAGGCGCGTGGCACCGTTGCACCCTGCACACCAGGCTGTGGGAGCGGTGTACCGTACAAGCTCACCGCTTGTGTTGCAACGACACTGGCGTCAGCGTCGAATTGGAGCGCAATGGTGGCATCAGCGATGGAAGAGGTGCGCGACAATGAGCGTGTGAGTCGTTTGCCACCCAGCACCGGTTCGGTATCCAGACTTGCAGTCGCCGGTTTGGACGGGGCCGGCTTGATTTTCTCTTCGAGCATCGTCTTGGCGGTGGCCCAGCTGAAGCGCACGATGCCGGGCCAGCCAAACACGGGGTCGAGCGTGCGCTTCAAATAGGCAACCGTATTGGGGTCGCCGGGATAACCACTTCCAAGCGCACCCATCCTATCCCACACGTCCGAGTCGATCCTGCGCTTCGTCGGCTCACCCACGGATGCTGCCGGGCGATTGGTGGAGTCACCAAGGACAGTGTGGGGCGCTGGAGCCGGCTGTTCGGCGTACTTCCAGTTTTCGATGCATCGATCGCGCGTGACCTTGGCGGCGATACTCGCGGCGCCGACGATGGGATAGATGGCATCGGCCTTGCTCGTGACGGTCCACTTGATGTGCGGATGCCGGGCAAAGTGCGAGCTCAACAGCCGCGCGTAGCTCTTGGCATCGCCCACCGTGTCCACGTAGATCTCGGTGACGTCTACGCCCTGTTCGAGCACGCCGGCGATGAGCGACACTGTAGCCTGGCTCGACTGCGCATTGAGATTGATGGGCCGGCGGCGGAGCATGCCCGCCGAGATGTCCTGGGGCGACATGACGCGCACTGCCCAGCCGAGATGGTTGTCGTGGTCGATGAGCGCCGACAGCAGCTGGTCGCGTCGATCGGCGGTGAGCGCCTTGGAGTCGGCAAAACCAATCTGCTTGAGCGAGTCCTGGTACGCCACGGGACAGTAGGCAACGCCGTACACCAGCGGACCGAGCACAGGACCGCGCCCAGCCTCGTCCACACCCAGCGCACACGGCACCTTGACGCTCGGATTGGCCGCGTCGATCTTGCTGCATTCGGGAGGGACGTGAGATGCGTATGTGTACGAGTGCTGGATGGGCCTCGTTGGCTCGGACGGGATGGGAGGCGGTGGTGCGATTGCCGCACGGTCTTGGCTGTCCAGGATGGGGTCATCGTCGTCGTCGTCGTCGTCGTGGCGCACTTCTTTCCTTTGACGCTTTGCAGGCGGCTGGGTCGTCGCTGTTGTCTTTTTCCTCGGTGGCATGGCGGTGATGATGATGATGACGGGAATGGTGGTGGTGACAGGACGAGGAGGAGGAGGAGGAGGAGGAGGTTGGTTCGCACAGTCCGACGTCGACGTGTTGGTCTTCGCTTTTCCCGCCTCGACGCGCCGCCGAAAAGTCGCGTAAATTGGAGAATTCGAGATTGGAATTTGTTAGATCGATCACTCGCCTTCCTCCACTGCAGGAATCGAAGAAAATAAATGAAAGCAGCGGCGGAAAAGTGAGAATTTTTTGGGCCGACAGACAGCAGCTTTCTTGTTTTGTGGCCACCCTGCTTGTCTTTGCACCACCATCCTGCCCACGCTGCTCTTCTCGACCCCATCAACGGCAGCAGCACAGCCACAATGCCATCGTCGAAGCCGTCCGGATCAGGCTCCAGTCCAGGCTCCGGATCGCGCAACAAGTCGGTCGACTCGGCTGCGTCCACCCCCGAGCCTGCTGCCACCGCCTCCACACCCGCCATGCCCGATCCCAAGACCGAGCTGCCGGCGTACCTGCTGCGCCTCCAGTCGGCGCTCCAGCCGCTCACCCGCAATGCAGCCGCCATACCTACCCACGGCGACCTCGCCTTCCACCGCAGCATGGACCGCAAGCTCGCCAAGAAACTCGACGCCGAGTCCAACAGGTTGCTGCAGTCCATCTCCCAGCTCGCCAGCTGGATCGCCTCGGACTCGCGGGCGCCCAGCATCCCGCTTGCACAAAGCTCGTCTTCAGTGGCGTCGTCATTGACCGACAAGACCAACGCCAAAGCCAAGGTGGAGCTCGAGCTCGACATGGCAGACGTCACCACCAACGAGTCGTTCGCCTCCAACCTCGGCGAGCTCGTCGACCATCTGCTCGAAAGCGCAGACACCTGCCTCGACGAGTACACCGGAAAGCTCGCCCCGCGCTCGCTCGCCAATGCTGCCACCGTTGACTCTAACGGTGATGCCGACGCGGCCTCCGCACACGGCAGGATGCAGGCCATGACGGCGGTGCAGAACGGCAAGGCGCTGCCCAAGACGGGCAACTTACCCGCCTGGGTGCTCAATGCTCCCATCCCCCCGCCCCAGCGCAACTTTACCACCAAGCCCGACAACTCGCCCCACACGCTCTGGCAGCCCAGGCTCAAGTACGGCAAGCCCAATGCGGTGGTGCCGCTGGGTCACATCAATCAGCCTCGTCTTGGCGCCGACGGTCAGCCGCTGCCACGCGGTCCGAGGCGCGGCATGTACTGCGCCGAGGGCGATCCGCTCGACAATCCCTACTACCACGAAATCCTCCATGCCCACCCGCCCACACACGCACTCTCCAAGCCCGAGCCGCGCGCAAAGGATCAGCCGCCACCGCCGCTCAACGAAAAGGACCCGTCGCTATCCACCGACACCTCGCCATTTCAGTGGGTATCCACCAAGGCGCAGATCGAGGCACTGCGCGATCATCTCGACGAGCCGCGCGTCACCGAGATCGCCATCGACCTCGAACACCACTCGTACCGCACCTACCAGGGCATCGTATGCCTCATGCAGCTCAGCACGCGATGGGGCGACTGGATCATCGACACGCTCTCGGACGAGGTGCGCCAGCACGCCGAACTGCTCAATTCGGCCTTCACCCACCCAGACAAGGTCAAAGTCCTGCACGGCGCGAACCACGACGTGCTGTGGTTGCAGCGCGATCTAGGCCTGTACCTGGTGAACCTTTTCGACACGTACCACGCCACCAACGTGCTGCTCTTCCCGAGTCATGGCTTGAACTACCTCATGGCGAGGTATTGCAACTTTGATGCGGATAAGCGGTACCAGCTTGCGGACTGGCGCATCCGTCCGCTGCCCAAGGAGATGCTCTACTATGCGCGCAGCGACACGCATACGCTGCTGTACATCTACGACAACCTGCGCCACGAGCTCATGGAGGCCGGTGGCGTGGATGCCATCCGCGACGTTTTTGTGCGGAGCAAGGAGGTTGCCATGGCGACGTATGCCAAGGAGGAGTGGGATGCCGAGGGCGAGACGCGGGAAGGCTGGCGGAGCGTCTGGCGCAAGTGGGGTGGAGAGGCAGCATTGGGTACAGAGGAGAGGAGGGAGGTGGGTCAGATGAAGCGCGAGGAACGGCTCGTGCGCGCGCTGCATCGATGGCGCGACGGCGTGGCGAGGGAGCAGGACGAGTCGCCGCGCTACATCTTGGGTGCGAATAATCTGATGATGCTGGCCGCCAGGGCGCCGACCAAGGTCGAGGGGGTGCTGGCGTGCATCCCGCCGAACGCGGCGCAGCTCAAGAAGCGCGCTGCCGAGCTGGCGCAGCTCATCGCCAAAGAGGTGCAGGCGTGGCAGAAGGACCACGATGAGAAGAGCGAGGAGAGGAGGATCAAGATCGCCGCCTCGCTCACCAAGGACGACAACGAGATGGACCTCGGCGAGGCAGTGGCCAGACCGGCACCGGACCAGGTCTCACAGCCAGTGACGCCCGTTATTTCAGCCATCAGCCACGCCGCTCGCACCCAAGGCCATCTCAACACGAGGGTTTGGGATACCCCACCGCGCAAAGTGCGTCCCACCAACCCGGACACGCTCGCCGCGCTGACGTCGAAGCTTTTTGGCACTTGCACCCATCCTCGTGCTACCGTTTCGACACGCATCGACCAAATCAAGGCGCAGTTCGTCGACTCGCTCGGCTCCGTCCTCAGCCCTCCACCATCCGTCGAGATTGACCTTGCTCTTGCTGCCGAGCCTGCACTCCCGACGCGGGAGGCAACGCCGCCACGCGCTGCCACTCCCGAAGCTCGTGCAGTTGAGGAGGAGAGTGACTCGGACAAGGACGAGTACATCGTCGTATCGGCATCCAAGTCCAGCGACGCCAAGAAGGACGCCAAGCGCAAGACCAAACGCAAGTCCGACGCGGGAGATAAGGAGCAGGTCAAGAAGCGCAAGGGCAAGTTTGAGGGCGAGTTCGACTTCGCCACTGCGCCCAATGCGTTCGAATCGCCCAAGCCCCAGCACGAGCCCAAGGCAAAGACCAAGCCAAAGGCAGACAAGAGCCACAAGAAGGACAAGGAGGAGGCAGTGTTCAGACAGCCACGCGATAGGGCCAGGCGCAAAATCGATGCCCGTACCACCATGTAAAACCCCGGCACTTTTTTTTAGATCCCCCTCAATCCGCAGCATGTTTGCAATCCCAACCTCGACAGCCATCCAACTCAAAAGTCTCCCACGCAATACAGAGCCAAAAGCAAGACGACTGGATGCGTAACAGAAAATGCAATTGAGTAAAAAAAGAGGCATGGGGATCTAGCCATGCTTCCAGTAGCAAATGTCGCCGTCTTGCACCTTGTACTCTCGGCCGATCTGCTTGTACTTGCCGGCAGCCTTGACACCCGCCTCGTTGCCGTGCTCCTTGATGTCGTCGATGGAAAACACCTCGCCACAGACGAACTTCTTCTGGAAGTCGGTGTGGATGATACCCGCCGCCTCGGGCGCCTTGAGCCCCTTTCGGAAGGTCCACGCACGAACCTCGTCGGGACCCGCGGTAAAGTACCTGACGAGGTCCAGACCATCGTATCCGGCCTTGGTGATTTTGCCGAGTGCGCCGGTGATGTTGTCTCCCAAAGTGGCCAGTTCGGCCGCCTCGGCCTCGGGCGAGCCGAGCGCCAGCAGACGCTCCTCGAGCGCCACCGAGAAGGGGATGAGCAGATCGCCCGGGTTGTTGTCGTCGATCCACGCCTTGATCTTGGCGAGCCACTTGTTCTTCTTGCGCACATAGTCGCGCTCCGACAGGTTCACCAGGTAGATCACCGGCTTGGCTGTCAACAGCTGCAGATTGTTGATCACCTCGACCTACAAAAGTCCCAATGCCCATCAAAGCAACCGAGTCAGCGCAATGTTACTGGGCAGATGGGATGGGCGCACTGCTGTTGTGGGCGGTGGGGATCAGTAGAAAACTAATTATCTCATGCTGGCTTGATGGGCCATCGACGAGCTGGGTTAAAGAATTATCGAGTGTCTCAAGTTGCGCACTCTTTATCATCATCTATAACCCCCCGCCACAACAGCAGCAGCATCTCGAAAATACGCACCTCGTTGTTGGTCCAGTCGCCCTTGCGGATGTCCTTGTTGTCCTCCTGGACGTGTTTGAGGATCTTTTCGATGATCGCCACCTCCTCCTTGCGCTTCTTGTCTTCGAGGCTGACGTTACCCGCGCTGCGTGCGTTCTTCTTGGAGTTGTCCAGCGCCTTTTCGATCCAGTCGATGTCCTTGAGTCTCAACTCGGTCGAGATGATCTCCATGTCGCGGATCGGGTTGACGTCACCCTCGACGTGGATGACCTCTGCGTCGTCGAATGCACGCACGACCTGGAAGATGCCGTCTACGGAGCGGACGTTGCTCAAGAAGGCGTTGCCCAGGCCCGCACCCGTGGACGCACCGGCGGTGAGACCAGCAATGTCGATGCAGGTGAGGAAGGCGGGCACTTCTGACTTGGGCTTGTACTGCTGGGCGAGCCATGTGAAGCGCTCGTCGGGCACGGGCACGCGCGCCTCTTCGGGCTCGATCGTCGCATAGGGGAAGTTGGCCGACTTGCCCAGATCGCACTTGGCAATCACGTTGAACAGCGACGACTTGCCGACGTTGGGCAGACCGACGATACCCATCTTGAGGTTATTCGACGGACGACCCAGACGGATCTTTTCCACCACGGCCTGCTTCTTGGGCGGCATCTTGTTGAGTCGGTGTGATTTGGCGTGCGGGAATGCGGTGGCGCAGAAGGTGCGAGCGGTCGAGGCAGCCGAGATTCGCGCGGGTGTTCGAGGCGTAGGCGCGTGGAGATGAAAAGCGGCGGAAGCGGTGTTTACAGCGATCCGAGAGGTGGTGGTGGTGCTAGTGTATGTTCTGGTGGCAGTGGCCAGGCGCAGAACAGGCATGTAACTAGGAAGGTGGGGGGTATGGTGTGGATCAGAGGCAACAGGCGCAACGAAGCGCGGATTCAAGATTTTTTCTTCCTGCCCGCCTCGGCCTTCTTCTTCAGTCTTCACTTTCGATCGCGTGGCTGCCGGTGGGGGCGTGTGCTTTTCTCGTGCGGTATTCACGACAGGTGTGTTAGGCTCTGAAATTACCCACAAATTGTAGCTCAAAATTAAGGGGGAGGGGCGCGCCTTGTTGACGTCAAGTCGAGAGAGGAAGCGGCGCAGGAGCGCAGAGTGCCAAGTCGAGTGGATGCAACGGCGCCGGGATTGAGTGGGTCTTCGAGTTTCAACTTGAATTTCGAGCTTCAGACTCGCAGAGTGCCAGCGCGCTGCACCTCTCTCTCTTTGCTCTCGGCTGGCGTGCAGATCGGCGCAGCAGCTGAGGCTCAGCCTTGGCGGGCGATTCGACGCGCCTCTCGTCGCTGTTGCTCTCACCACCACCACCACCATCCTCCTTGTCTCCTTGGCATCCCTCGACCCAACATGCGATCCACCACATTCGCACTCGCGCTCGTTGCGCTCATCCTCTCGCTCGTCACGCTCGCATCCGCACAGGCCGCTGCAGGTGGCGGTGCCGGCGTCGCAACCACCTACACCGGCGTCCAGACCATCTCGGGCTACACACCACCGCTCTCCTCGCAGCTCCCCGCGCCCCAGGTCTCGCGCGGCACCATCCTCACCACCATCCCCGGATACGGCAACAGCTCCAATACCGGCAACGCGCTCAACCAGGGCTCCGGCATGGGATCCAGCAGCGGCGCCCTCTCGCTCCTCACCTCGCCCCACTTTGCGTCCAGCACGGCTGCACAGGCGATCTTCATGTGCGTCGCCGCCATTGCTGCTGGTGCCGTCCTGCTTTAAAGACACGCAGACAGACGATATACCTCCATCGACCCCACGGACTATGCTTGCCCTCCTTTTCCTTCTGCTCTGTACATTCTGCTCGCCAACCCACTCTTTTTGAACCTCCCTATCGCTTTTTCGACTCCTTCGCAATGCATCTTGCTCACACAGCCAGTCGCTCTACGCTCGAACTTCAGGCTGGATTGCTGCACCGCCACACATCACAGCTGGGGGTGAAATTGGGGGAAAGGATCTAGGGGCCAGCGCCGTGCGATGCCTGCTTTCGTCGCGAGTTGCGCTTTCGCCTTGTGGCTGGTCCGGACGACTTGAATGCCTGGACGATGAACTGGACCGCCAGCGGGATGTCCTGCATGCTATACGTCAGATGCGCCATGATCATCATGCCGTTCTCGCACACGGGATCGCCCAGATTGCAGAACGTCTTGACATCATTGGTGCTCTGGACAGCTTGCATCTTGAGCGGGTCTCCGAACGTCACGGCAGCCACGACGTTCTTTGCGTGGATCCGATGCACAACCATTGCACCTTTGGAATACCCGGCCAGGGCGTACTTTGTGGTGGGGCACTTGGCGGCGATGCTGGCGATGAACTGCGAGGCCGTGTTGGCGCCGATGCCGGGTGAGACCATGTATTCGGCATCCGACGTGTAGACGGTGTCGTAGCAGAGCGTGCCTGGGACCGCCTGTTGAAGGCCGGTGCAGAGCGGGCGGCCGACAATGCCGAACGTGCCTTGCAGCTCCGCCGTGCCTCGGGCGAAGATGAGGTATAAAGGTGGACACCCTGGCGTTGAGGGGGTAGAAGCGGGAGCGTCGTTGGGCGAGGGGCTGGTGGTGTCGCGTGTGCGAGAGAGAGAGCTGGCAAATTTACCGGCGCTGCCGAGGTTGCCAATACCGCTTAGACCGCCCATACCCATCAAACCAGAAAGGGGAGAGCTGTCCGCTCCGGAAGAGGCCGAGGAGGAGGATGGGTTGGCCATCGAGAGGAGGTTCGGCATTCCACCTCCAAGGCCTCCGAGGCCACCGCCGAGGGCGCTGAGACCTCCACCGCCAAAACCTCCGCCACCAAGGCCACCGAGACCACCTCCACCCAGACCACCAAGATCATCCATACTTCCCAGTCCGCCCATTCCCGGCATCATGAGGGGCGAACGTTTCTTTATCGCCACCCCGTCATCTTTCTTGCTTGCTTGGCTGCCACCGTCATCGTTGGAAGCTTGGTCCTTGTCGGCTGGAAGTGCGAGTGTACCGAGCACAAGACTGCACAGAATCCAGAGCACTTTAGACCGCATGCTGGAAGCTAGAATGCGTGGTTGGGCCGTCGCTCTCCACTCGGACCATCCCTACTTATACGCTTCGATCATGCTCAACACCACGAAGGCGACCGCAATCTCGGCAGTGAAGCGCCGACGTGCACAAGCCGCTCTTTCATACCACGCGACGTGCACCTCATCGCCTCCATGTCCCTCTCGACCTTCGGCTGCACTCTGCGTCATCACGACAATCGCTGGCGAGCACGCACCGCTTTCATCTGCAACCAAACAACATGCACGTCCGCAGATTGAATCGCGGATCGTTGTACCGTTATCCTGTCATGTGTTGTCCCGTCTGAGCCTCGTGTGCGTCCGTCCCGCTTGCCCCACCCGCCGGTCCCAGGCGTTGTTGCCAAACATCCACCACCCACACCGCGCCTTCATCCCAAATAGACCAACGCCCTGGAAGCTTTGATCTTGATAATCACACTGTATATATATGCTTATTTTTCCCTGCCGAACATCGAGCTTCGTTAGCGTAGTTGGATTATCGCAT